ATTTAGTGATCTACAGTACATGAAATGGGAAAGAGGGTGAAAGTTAATTAATTGATATAAGTACAGGGCCATTTTATGCATAAAGTGAACCTAGTTCTTTGTCTCTTCATCAGTGAAACTGTCTGCTACAAAAAAGTGCACAATATCTGCACGAAAATAGAAGAATTCAATACAATTTCAAATTTATTGAATCCCTAGAAATGCGAAAGTGTCGCTTTATCCAATATATCTCGAGTCATTGACCGTTTTACAAAACAAAAAGGTTTATTTCTTGATCGGTAATAGAAGACTGCATTCCATAATATCTGATGATCTTGGACGTTCACATTGACACATTTGGCTTTTAATCAAAACGTGTCGGTAATGGATACTTTTTACTTAATTATTCTGCTATAATACAGACAACTCACAATTCTCCAAGGAATACATCATTTCACAGATGCTGGATATTGGCTTATTACTGTTTTTAAGTAATGACAATCGGATATCCTCCGTGCCCTTGTATAAGGTCCGCTTAGATTTTGTCACGAGGTGTTAGCGTTCCACTAACATGCATTTATTTAGAAAGAACTAATTATAGTTTTTCATTAATTTAATGGTCCAGCGAGATAACACTTTCCATGTATTTTTTCCATAGCCAACTCCTTTCAATTCTTCTGTCTGTCTATTTAAAATTTACGCTATGTGTACATTTGTTTCTCGGATTTTAATATTATTAATAGAAAAGATTTAATACAGTACTTCTTTTTTTAAAAAAAATTGAATTATATATCTTATTTTTTTATGACTTTGATGTACAATTTGTTTTATTTACTTTAGTAACAAAAATGTTTAGGTTCATGAATCATAATTAATACATAAACCATTCAAGTGATGAAAAAGGAATTGTACTCATTCCAGTTTTGACTTTTAATTTATTAATTGTATTCAATGATGACAATTATAGTTAATTTTTATACCCCCGCTTGAAAAGCGGGAGGGTTTATGGTAATCGGTTTGTCCGTCCGTCTAGCTGTCTAGCTGTCCGTACGTCCGTCCGTCCATCTGTTACGCTTTGGGGTACCAATCTCTTCTCCGCAACTCCTTTCAAACCACTGAATGAAATTTGATGAAACTTTCATAGAATCTTTATTACATCTTGCCATTGTGCACCTCTTATTTTATTTTTTGATCCAACACAGATTTGGATTTCCCACAGCAAAACATAGACACTGCCATTTTATACATATGAGAGGGAGGGGGGGGGGTATCATTTAGTGAGTTCATTGCTCACAGTACCTCTAGATCTAGTTTTTTCTTTCATGTACATAAAAATGTTCATTAAACAAATTCTGTTTGAATTTTTGTTTCATTTAATTTTTTGTGATACTTGACAAGTAATGATTTCGATTTCTTTTGAAAATATCTTGAAACCTTTTTTCGTCAAATAGAGCAATATATGATTTCTGGTATCTTTACAAAAAGCACATGGTGGGTTGGGATGCAAACTTCTCCATGGTATCTGATCCCAACTCTGATGTTTTGAGACCCCTGTTTGCACTGCTCTTGATCGATGAATTGTATCGTTTAAATCGCATCTTGAAGTTACATACTACTCATTATCTCCATAATATGTTATGGCTTATAATGATAACAACATAATACTGAAGATTCTCTGAAGATGTACGATGGAAACTTGTTTGTACGTAGGTCTTGAAAGAAAACAATAACATTTTTTCTGGCCTCATATGCAACTGACTACATATTGTAAAAATGAGAAATAATCTTCAACAGTTTACTGTTAAAAGTTTTCGATATTATTTGTGTAATGATAGTCTGCAATATGCAATTTTAAAAATATGTCGGCCATAACATTCTTAATGATTTTCATACTTTTCTCCTTGTCTAGAAGTGTTTTAAAATGTCAGAAATGTTTGAGATGACATAATTTTAAAATCTGAAATGATCAAAGATATATCATTATCACTTGCTTGAAAATATTCTTTTATTCGGAGTCTTAAGGTCTATGTCTACAGATTTTCACGGACACTTTTTTCGATAAACACAGAAATTTGCAAAAAATCTTAACGAGAAACCAACGCTTTGCCAGTATAACGAACATTTGAACCAGTTCTCTTCACACATATGGTCTATTTTCTCCTGAGCCAATCAATATTGAACTCTAACGCCTAGTTTGCAGTAAGACACCCCGTTGATGATGTCTGGTCAATACCTAATATTTTACCAAAAGTAGGTTCACGAAATCACTCACAAGGTTCGTCCCGTCAAATCACTAATAAGGTCAGTTCTATCAGCGAGATATCTGAGGATTAATTTTTATTTTGGAAATAATTGGAATTAATTATGTATGAAACAGGGAGCAATTTCGTTTCCCCCTTCAATCGAATTCGGAAAAAGTAAATCAAAACGTGAAGATTTGATTAAAACATGTTTTATTTTTGCAAAAGACATTGGCTTTTTTAATAAAATGTGTTAATTTTCTGCGTGTTATATTGTAATTTACTTAGACAGATATAAAAGAGACTTCAATGTCTTACTTAAACATTGAAGAATGAAAAAAAATACCTATCAACATATCACTCATTGGAGTAGGTAATACATTATGTGCAAGGAGACAGATTAGTCAAAATCGAACTAAATCCTAGATTCTCTAATGTCTTAAAGTCAAATGAATATTAATTTCTTCCTACGAAATGGAACACAGAGACTTTACCATCACATGAAATGGAATAATGTAAAAATATTCCTCTGCTTGCCTTATTCACTTTTTTTTCCTCGAGTACTTATTTCTTTAACGTCTAACTGGAGAATTTTTCATGTTGAGATGCCACAGTTTGAAAACTATACGTGGCACTCACGATCTGGCCCATTTAGCAGTATGGTATCTTCTTTCGGTAAGTACCTCCTTCGACATGGGACCACGGTTTATACGGTCTCATACAAAGGACCGATCTCTTTTTCCTGGTATGGAATTCAAAGAATTCAAACGTGCGATGTAAAGATCACTTTTGGATGTTTCTACTGACTACAGACGATAAAGGATTATAAACAAGTAAATTGTATGAAAGAAAAACAGAATTACTTCATAATTTTCATCGTCAACCTTCCTTAAGTTGTTATATCCTGATATCACCTGCTTCTATTGCTTATTTCTCATGTATTCCCTACAAAAAAGCTTGCATAAATTACTATCAGTTTGTAAAGTGAGGCATGATATTCACAGATGAGTTGATGTTACAGGGATTTTTTTTTCAACTGCCTCGTTTAAAATCGGTATTTAATTTTCTATGGAATATAGCTAACCTTGTTAGCAAATATAACATTCCATTAAACTGTAATTTGGCTGGTTTGTTTCGTAGAGTTTACAGGCTTTTGCAAATTTATTTTACATTGGAAAGTTGTAACCCTTAATACGGTTCAATCTGGTTCATGGCGCATGTGACCAGTCAAAGGGGATGCTTGCCTTGATATGTTTTCATTTACTTTTTGCTGTTTATACCTTTCAGTTTCATATCCATTATTCCTTAGCGTAAGGGAATAATTAATCCATTTACCAATGTGTTTCTTCATAAATGAGTTTTTTATCTGTTTTAAAGGGATTATAAAAAATAAAATTGAAGGTTGCATTTGGTATTAGATGACCTTTTCAGCGGATTTTTTTTTCTTTAAGAAACTTATCACTTTTCATTTTTCAAAACTCTGAATACAGAAAAAAAATCATTACGTAAACCTTTTTAATGAGTGAAAAAACTCTCTAATGAGACGTAAAGCAAAAATACATTAATGACTTTAAAATCGATATTAAAAAATGTTAAAATCAAACTTAGCTACTTAAATTTCAAGGTTTCATAAATCATCTTTTATTACTTTAGGCAGAGATATTAGTTTTGGGCTAATTGGATATTATTGTTAATAAAAAAGGTGAATGGGTTCTGCTTTTGATGATAACGTCTTCTACGTAGTCTACAAGTACAACGTTTCGAAAAAGCATTAAAGTCAGTTCTCGGACGTATTTCTGTCAGACACATTAAAAAAATAGTTATATAATGTGTCCAATTTCAAGTGCTAATTGCTTTTGTTTTGAGAGTTTTGCACCTGGATTTCTTTTTCATTTTTGAAGAAGGAAAGCAATTAATCATAGTTTTAGTAGGTCTTTAGTGTAGTTTTAAAACACATGACCTAAATTTAGAATTTGGCTCTCATGCTCTGATTTATGGATACTTGTAATACTTATAATTATATAAGAAGGCCATCTTTATGCGAACGACCGAGTTTTCATTTTGACCTAGAAATGATTTCAAGATATGCGTTAAAATGTATGTTTCTCCTATTTGAAATTTCATATTAGATTAATTTAAACGCGTAATACCATATAAAATAAAAGTTATAAACTAAATGCTGATAATCCAGATTTGTTTCTCTATTTAACAAACATAGCTTTAAGAATCTTTTACTCATTTTGAGTCACATCACTTGGCGGCGGAGGTTGCAATTTTAAATCTGTATTTGGCATTAGAATCCATTGAATAGAGGAATCCTTTTCGTCCCAGCATCTTCCCACTGTGGGACGTGGAGACCAGTCCTTCGGAAGAGACCGTATAAACCGAGGTACCGTGTTGCAGTGGGTGCTGACACGAAAAAGATCCCTCACTGCTCAATGGCCCTGAGTGCCGAGCATGGTACAAAATTGCAACTCTCAGCTGGCAAGTGGTGGCGTCTCAATATGAGTGAAAAATTCTTGAGAGCGATGTTAAACAACATACAATCAATCAATTGTCCCAGCATCTGCTGCGACAAAAGACTTCTGTTTATACAGTCTAATCTGCATGAAAAGTCTCAACGTCCCGTTGTGGGATTCGATCCTGCGAAGTAAGGATCATCTCCTTACTAGAAGAAATGCTTAAACCTCACGGTTTCGTGTGTTGTAAAACTATGATCGTATCTTCAATCTCTTCGACATCAAACAGTTTAAAATTCATTTTTTTTTCATTATTTTGCAGGTAAGCAACATGTACATCGTAAGTTTGGCAATGGCTGACTTAATCGTAGGAATTATAGTGATGCCCATCAGTACTATTTACATCTTCACAGAGGAATGGATATTTGGAGTCGCTGTCTGTCAAATCTGGATTGCAGTGGACTATACCGCCAGTACAGCGTCCATTCTTAATCTATTTATACTTAGTGTCGACAGGTATTGGTCTGTGACGTCACCATTACGTTATTTACGGAAAAGAACGAAAAAGAGGGCATTGATTATGATTTCGATTGTTTGGGTAATTTCATCTTTATGGATAATACCTATTGTGGGGTGGCACCATTTTGCTCATGATGGTATCAGGACTGTTCCATCAAATGTTTGTGACACGGAATATGCCAAGGACTCTATTTTTAAAGTGGTGACAGCGTTTTTTAACTATTTTCTTCCTCTAGCTATTATGTATAGTCTTTATGGTAAAGTTTTCCATGAGATCAGAAAACGGTCAGCTTTGGAACTTGGACAGCAATATCCAACAGCAACAACACCAATGGCGTATAATTATGACGGAGATTCGCAGTTAGGTGGAAGCAGCAGCTATAGTGAACCACGCATCGATACTTTTACAGATCCACATTCCAACAGAATTGAAGATGCCAATCATCCAACGACCATGAAAAACGGCTCACTCCAGAGAAACAAAAAAGTAAAACTTAAGAGTAGTAAATGCCTCGTTTTGAAATCGAATAAGATTTTGCTGACAACGAGCAGTAACGGAGCTTCTGATCGGTCAAGGTTAGCTCAGAGATGTAGGGTGGAATACATTTATGACGAGAATGTTCTAGATCAAAAGACAGAAAAATTGGAAAGATTTTACTATGAGGAAAACATTCCATTGTCCTCCATTCGTTCCATGGACGCCACCAACCCAAGCTTTTGTAATGATTATTTAGCAAATCCATCAAGCTCTCACCATAGTTCGAGTAGTGAAGAGAGATATCAGGGTACTTGTAACACGGGTATGAAATGTAATAGGAAGATGCTGAAATGTAATAATGTTTACGGGTTGACAAATGGAATCGAAAAACTTCGTCAAACGGAGAACATTTTAGACACTACAATGATGACGAATGGAAACAATGAAAGCGACAGCAATAATATAGTACAAAGCGTTTGTATGTTTGGGGATGTGACTTCTCGTCGTATCTCAAACATGTTTAATATAAAACATCGCATTAAAAATTTTCGTCAAAGTTCGTCCCTCACGAGAGAAATAAAAGCTGCCCGTCAACTAGGAGTCATAATGGGAGCTTTTACAGTTTGCTTCTTGCCATATTTTACTTTGTTTTTAGTGGTAGCTTTTTGTGATAGTTGTGTCGATACGGAGCTAATGACAGCCATGACCTGGATAGGTTACCTAAACTCAACATTAAACCCCTTTCTGTATCCTCTATGTAATATGAACTTCCGCCGGAAATTCAGGAAAATGCTGCGTATTGATCGCAATATTAAGCGACGTTCACGACATGCCGTAGATCGAAATAGCCTTACAATGAGATATGACTGACACAAATGTCGTAAAAATCGTTATATTGTTTTATTTAATGCTTTCATAACATGCTACAATTGAATTCCATTATATAAATGTTTGTCATTGATTGTTATGTTGTCTTTTATCTCTGATATTTTGAAGGGCTGACATTGGTTTAAATGACTAAAACGCTACCCCTTGCCATAATCGAGGCAGTTATACCCGTGTTATCATTGACAAAATGGGCATTATAACATATTATATCAATGAAAAATGAGGTGGTTCGTTCAGGAAGTTTTTATAAGGCTCAGTATATACCCAGAACAAACGGTTTTTCTCATTTATCTCTTATTTGGACTGTCTGAGAAGATACAAAATGACCTTAGGACTAAAGGGCTAGGTCTATCTTCCGTCATTAAACTGCGTTTATTTCAATATATTAAATGATTACTTGTATACATTAATTAAAATAATCGCTGTCTATCTTCTTTTTTCCAGCAATATACATTTTTAAATTTATTAATTAATAAGACAGACAAAGACAACATCGATTTCTATAAATTAACTCTTGTTGAAACTGTAGTTCATGTCAATTTGACATTGTGAAATTTTTTAGAAGGACCTTGAAATATACGTACATGTATATAATGTGTACTGAAAGTCATCTTAAGTTTGATTTTACTTACCGGTTAACGCTTAAGGGGGATGTCCGGGGACCTTTAATGCAATAAGAAAAAAAATGTAAACATTTCTTCAAATGGCTAAAATACATTACATTTTGATTAAATTTCAAGTCCCTCTGATAAAGATACAATAAATATGCATAATTGAATGCATGTTGTGTATAATATAATCTATACAGAAAAATGCTTTTAATATGCTTTTTAGAACTACTGCACAGCTACAGAATTCAGCAGAGCCTTAAAAAATCCAAAAAAATATGGTTTATTTTTAGCACAGAATTTTTTCCAGACCTCTTCTTAATATGGAGGTACATAATAATCCTAAAAAGTAGAAGAGAGTTACAGTTGGAAAATGATTCAAATAATATGAACATTTTTAAAAGAGGAATTGTGTTACATGTACATGTATATTGTGGCTTCAAGTAATTAGTATTTTTATCGAACAGTTGTTAAATAGTGTACGTGTTGATATAAAAACAAAATCTTCAACTCTTTGATTCCAGTCAAGGAAAAATGAGCACCATCAAAGTTAAAAATTAAGAGTTTGTAAGTCTGACACAGAAAACTTATTTTATCTACCAAAATCTTAATTATCACCAATGAAACACAAAGAAAATTAGACACATAAAATCGATATGAATGACCTTGTTTTAGTAAATGCTAGTTTACTGTATTAAATAAACATTTACAATTTTCATCACATCAGAGCACCATTTGAAAAGGAATAAAATCATTCAGAGTGGGTCAGGAGATTTACTGCATAAAAAGCTTTTTTTCTATTGCCCATGTTGTCAAAATTACAATTTTGCAGAGTAAAGAAAAAAAATCAGCATATTTAAATATTTCAGACCATCTTTTAGAATGATGTTTGGTGGTCCTCCCAACTTAGAGAAAAATTATAATTTTTTTGGGTCCGTGTAGGTGGGAAATGTTTTTTCCTTAAAATTTAAAAATATTTGTTGACGGAATAAAAAGAAAAAAATATCGTGTAATGGGATGTAAAAAAATTGATTCGGGCCATTTCTAGGAAGTAGGTCGGGAGAGAGGGCAACCAAACATTTTTTTTAAGTGGTCTTAACAATATAAGGCTAGTACATGTTCCATCACATAACTAGTGTCTTAGTGTCTGTGATGCAAAATTTCTGAATCTTTGCACTATTTTGAAAAACAAACACTTTTTTTTGAGAAGCTAGACATATCATAGACAAGGTATCTTTCTTTGCAAACATTGTGCTTTCTTCTAAATTTCAAAGAAACAACTCAATATATTTTATCAAACTTCGTATGTTGGTGAGAGCTTACAACTTTGTCAAGTGACATATTGAGACATGATGTGTTTTTATGTCCAAAACATTACTCCATACAATGTGTGGACCATTGCAAACAATCTCGCTATTTTTGTGCCTGAAGGAAATTCCATCACTGACTATTTTTTCTATCTAACTGCTAAACAAAATTGACATATGTACCAACTTTTCGAATGTAATACATGTAATTACAATTTGTTTTTCATGCACAGCATATTGTTTAACATTTTCAAATTAAAAGCTAAGCATCCTCCTTGCAGAACCCTATTTGAAAATAACTTCTATTGCCACAGAAAGAGAGACCCACCGTAAACACATATGTTTAGAACATTTTTTATCTTTTTTCTTGAGTTTTAAAGAAACCAACAAATTATCATGATTTGTTCCATGGAAAATTAAATATAATCATGGAAATAAACGCATGTATCCACTGCAGATATATGCACGTGCCAACCACGTGCTCAGTGGAATGATACGAACGAGGAAATTCGAACGATAAACAGAACAGTTTTTCCCAATTTGCTGAAGTGGGGTATAAAATCGCATTTTTTCATTAATCAGACGATGCGACGCAACAAATTTAAATAGTAAGTTATATGATCTAAGGATTATTATCGGCCGCAGGAGCGGTCGATCTATTTGTGATTGTGCTAGAATGTGTACATGTGGAAATGGGATGCTATTATTCTATTACGCGTAGCTCAGTAAAATAATTCTCAAATGATACATGTATAAAATCATGGGTAAAATATTTTAAAAATTTGCTTTAAACTAAGTATTAATTGTTGTTTTTATGTTCCAATGTCATTATCATTTCTCATCAGATAATTGATAATTTATAATTAAATAAAAAAGAGTTTACAATTGGTACTCCCCCTCCAGGGAGTGTGTAAGATACGAAAGGAAATCGTCGTTATTTTCCGGACAATAATGATGTGAACGTGGTAAAAGTGCATGGTGAATAAAAAACTGAGAAGTTGCTCAGCTAGTAAAAACTTGTTTGAAAATGCTACAGCTGCAAATGACACAAAGATTATACATTTTGCACCGCACAATGCAGCATAGCCTACTCTGCAGAAACCATTGGCATTATCCATGTTATCCCGTGACAAAAATCCAGGATATCAGCACATGGTTCATCTTGAGAGGTCTACATCTTTATTTTGATGTCAATAATTTTTCATATTCATCATTGACTTTTTTACATCGATAAATCCATTGAATGAGCAAATGCACTAAAATTTCTATTAAATGTTTTTAAAAAAATATTTGTTTATTTGACTTTGAAGACGGCCTGAAATAAAAACGATCACTATTTCAGCTTTGAATATCCTGTGCTTTCTTTGCATGAATGTTTTGAATTGTGAAAGTACTTTTTTGACAGGCAGATTTGATGCTTTGCATCAATTTTACTTGTTACTTAGTAATTTTTTTCTTGATGTTGTTATGGTTCATTTATTCTAAAATCAATGTTATTTAATCTCTGTGTGACAGAGGAATGGCGGACGTAATGAACACATGGCCTCAGGAAGACCCCCATATGAAAAATCAAATTTTCAAGAATTATGGATACAATGAAGCGCATTGAAGTGGTAAAATTGTCCTTTTGGACGAAACGTTCTGAGTCATGTTTTGAACGTGTATTGTAACATAAGGACACGCCCATTTCTTTGGAAACGAGAAAGAAATATTCATCGTAATGTTTTAGGACACAACACTTTCCGCGACAAGCAACATGAGTTACACAAAAATGAGGAATTTCAGAATAAGAAAGAGCTATGTATAGCGTTCCTGCTTATGTAAAACACGCATTGCAACGAATTTGTACATAATTATGATTTTATCAGGCTTATTGGAGTTAGCATAGCACATGTATCAGTCGAACACGTGCTTACTCGGTGTTTATGTAGACAGTCAATTTCATTGGATGTTATATTTATGAAAAACCTGTTCTACAGGTATTCGATTGACCGATTTATCCTTTCTAAAGAAATGGGCGTGTCTAAAGATAGCTCAAAACGTTCCATCCAAACAGAAAATTTTACCACTTCAATGCGCTTCATTGTAATGACAAGAAAAAAGCTAAACAAAGTTGTAGCCATATTATCCATGAACCGAAATGACATCATTTTCAATGCATTTTTCATCTGGTGAATGCTGTAGCTGCGCAGATCTAACATGATTAATTTCCCCCTAATTAAAACAAAATAAACTTAATTATTTACTATTTTGGTCTCTAACAGTAGATAATGAGTGCATTAGCACTGTGAGTAACTTTACGCTTGTTTGGCAGAGTATTAAGCGTATTTCTTATTTTGCACCAGACTAGATCCAATATGGCTTGTACATCCTCCCTAAGAATGTGACAATTTGTAGCCTAATCTTTGTCAAGGAAAACGGTTTTGTTCACATATTTTGAAATTAAAAATGTATTCTTTCTGCATCTTTGTAACACGTTTCACCATTTTTTATTGTCTTATACCTCATTTCTTAACCATAGTTTGCATCTGAGACTATCAATTCGAAAAAAAATTATTCTTCATCATATTAGGGTGCTTGCATATTTGGCTTGTTGCAGCCTGATATTTTTCCGCAGGTGAATTTTTTAACCTTTTTTCTTGCTATGCCTTCCATATTTATTGAACTCAATTCGTTCTACAAACCACTATATCATTTTAAAAATATACACACACCATAAACAAAGATGCATTTCTCGTGATTTTGAAAATGTCTTTTTTCGTTAAACAACAAAATTTAAAAAAAAAAAACAAGAGGGGGAGCAAGCAATAAAAACGGCACATAACAATGCAGAAATCAAAATGAAAATAACTTTTGGTATTGATTAAACAATTAAGATTGATATGTATAGCTTCATGTATTTTGCTCAACTTCTGGAAACAATTTGGTTTGAGGTAGACCTTTTAGCTTCAAACAGCTAAGCTTCATCGGCCATGCATTTACGGTCAGCAACCGAGGATGTTTTCAAACAAATACAAATCGTGCATTTAATATCAGTAAATAATTGACTCGAAAGTATTCTAGAAGTTTGCCGTGCAAAGTGATAGATGATAAAATAAAATTTTAAAAACAGCAAATA